CCTTCTTCTGATCCTTTTTGTTGGCTCGGTTTGATCTAGGGTCGTCTCTAGGGGGATCCCTTACCATGTCTTTTCTCGATAGGGGTTCAGACTCTCCTGCTAACCTAAATGCTGGTGTTACTATTGCTGCTCCTAGTCCTGTTGTTACTGCTACTGCTATTGCTGCCTCTGCCTCCCTAGCACCTTCTTATAAGCTCAGGCATCTTCCATGTCCATGTATCCATGTGCCTTGGCCATCAATTGCTCGTAGCTGGTGACTAGTTTTTTTGGCAAGTGAGTCAGCCAGCTTGTTGTCCTTTAGGCCAGTCACGATGGCGGACTTAGCGATTGCACTCTCTGGGTCATCAACTTCTAACCTCTTAGCCTAAAACTTCTTCATGTAATCTTTCAGACTCTCTCTAGGCTCCTGTCTTATTTGTATTAATACATGGGGAGGCAACTTCTGCTTGGTGTTGGCTAAGAAGTGATGCACGAACTACTAGTTGAGATGTTCAATGCTACTAATGCACTTCTTCATCAAGTAATTCCACCAAAGTTTGGCGCTTCCTGTCAAAATGATGGGAAAGCACTTGCAAATGATTACCTCCAACGCTTGCAACATGGTCTCATGTCATAGTAGTTCTGGACATGCTCAACTGGATCTCCTTCACCCTTGTACTTCTCTACCTATGACACCTTAAATTTCTCACAATAGGCATTCATGATGTCATCGGTGAGGGGGGTGTTCCCCCCAATGGCCTTAGCAATTGGCTGGAAAGATCGATCGTAACCATATGCCATATTCGTGATTGACGGGCCTAGAGTGGCATGATGATGCCTAGGGCCTTGCGATGCTCCTCTAGTTGTGTGCTCTCAGTTACCACGATCAGGACTAGGGCTCTCCCATGTGACTTCCACAAACTAGGGATAAGGTCAGTGAGGATCCGCAAAGTGAGCTTGCTGGCCAGGCTGAGGAGACATGTATTCAACATAGTCTCTATAATGACCACCTGGCGCGGCGTGCGCAGGTGTTTAGGGGACCAACGGCTACCTCGCTGGTGGTGGATGAGAGACCGAGGGTTAGCCTGCTGAATATGGAGCGACCGGTGATGAGGAAGGTTGTTGAGGATGAATTCGATTGAGGAGTTCGTTGGTGAACGGCGCAAACTATTGCTGGAAAGGATTGGGTGATGCACTGAGCGGATTCTTCTAGCTGTGCTTGAGTGACGTAGCCTGCACGTGATTCTTCAGGGAATGGATTGACAGGCGTACACTCAGAACCATACATGGGCACCAAACTGTTGATGTTAGTTATCAAATAGGGGATTATATGAGAGTTTGTGGAGTGGTTAGGGTTTATAACCCCCCCTAATGAATGGTTCTAGGGCTTGTTGTACTTCCCTGCACATGAAGGAACTCGTAAGAGGACGGAGTTTGGTTCTCCGATTGTTCTTTTGACGATCAAGTCAGTAGGTTATCTTGAGTGGGGAAATATAGAGTTAACTCTTAGTTATGTTAAAAGACCGAAGAGAGTTACCTCATGCAGTACCACTCCTTTTATAGTGGATCTGAGGGCAAGAAAGTAACTTGGTCAGAGTCCAGCTAGGCAGCTGAGTCGGTAAACATATGCTACGTGTCGATTGCTTAAGGAGGTGAGTCACTTGGTCATTTATTGTGGGAATGACAGCAGATGCTTGTTGCTGACTGGGTCCGATGGGGGCTAGAATAATGATGATGTTGTCAGGGCAGTTAATGTGAGAATAGTCGGCTAGCAAGGGGTTTGAGATAACTGTCGTCTTTCGAAACCTCAGGTCTAAGGCCGAGAAGTACTACCTTTTGACTCAGTTACGCGAGATGTCGGCTGAAGAGTGGGCTGAGTCAGGTTGCTTGTGGAATCAATTGAGGGGTTAGCCAAGTAGTACCTCCTTTTGACTCGGTTACGCGAGATGTTGGTCGTGCTGAGGCGGATGTTATCTTGGTCTTGCATTAGTCGGGTTAGGTATAGTGTAAGACACGTGTCAACTTCTCTGTGGAGATTAATATTTAGTATTTTTAAGGGGTATAACAGCCGGAATTTGTGCATATGACAAATGATATGATATTAACCTCATATTAAAATTGCTCGGCTGAGCGCTTAGCATTTAATTCTTAGACAAGCCTAATGCCTCTGCAGACATGTCTAACCTCTACATTATTAAACAAGCCATTCCAAACACATTGACATACAAACTTTTCAATCTCCTGCAGCTTAAATCCATATTTTAAGATCAAGGAAGATTCATAGAAGATATGAAGAGGATTTACATGAGAATATATGAGATTCAAATAATTCTTGCATTTATAAGAAAGATGAAAGGTATGGGCATTAAATACTCAGAGATCCACAACTACATTGCTGCGGACTGGCATCAGAAGTTATGCTATATGACCTCTTCATGTACATTTTCTTCAGTTCTGACTAATTTTATAGGGAAAATTTCACAAAATCCTCTTAACTTTTGGGGTTCTCAGAAAACTCCCTTAAGTAACATGTGTTTCAGTGAACTCCGCTAATGACATTAGGTTGGGGGTGGGGGGTGGGGGGAGTTGGGGGGAGTTCTAACAAAACTTAAATGGGATCTTGTGACATTTTGATAGTTAAGGGGGTTATCTCAGAGATGCCGACACTGAAGGAGGCTTATCTTCAATATTAACTCACCCTCTTCATGGTACGCACCATTCCTCAATGTGGTGAAGATTAATGTTGACGTTGCATATCATTGTTCGTGATCACATGGGCCATCATCACATTCTCTCATATGGCAACTTCGGACCTCCTCTTCCCCCTCTTTAAGTGGAAGCTCATGCCGTTCTCGTGAGTTTACATCTTGCCGTCTTCCTTGGTTGGCTTACTTCATACTGGAATCAGACTATCTTGACCTTTTACATCTATGGCGAATGTTGGGCTATTTCGACATTCTCTCAACTCATCTTATGTTGATCATTTTTGTAGTTCGGGCAGAGGCTTCACACCTCCACTGCCGCCCCCCAACTATTGATTAGGTATGTTTTGATGATACAAATATACTGTGTGTTTGGCTAACTTGGTTATTGCAGTGTCAAAAGATATATCATGCTACATCATTCAAGTTGATCAAGCAAGGCTGAAGAGAAATTAAGATAAAATTGGATTTCATATTGCAACTTTTACTTTATCTTAGATTGTTAAAAGCCTTGATGCACACACACACTAGACTTAGATTACTAGGTGACTTAACCCCTAGCCTAAGTTAGTTTCTATTAGTTAATTTGAATATAAGTTAATTAAAATTTTAATCTTGTTTTTCATTCAAAATTGATTTTACAGTCAATAAGTTTTCAACTCATTTGTCAAACTAAATATAGAAAGTCGACTGATCAGATTATCAATCGACTGATGAAGATCTTGAGACTTAACCAAAAGTCTCTGGTCAGTCGACTTATCTGTTCACCAGTCGACTGATCAAGGCCAATCAGTTTTTAACAAAACTCTCTAGACAGTCGACCGATATATATATATATATATATATATCAATTGTTTGATAAATAGATTGTTTGCATCCTTAACAATAGAAAATAATGTATTATTATATAAAAGAATTTTATTAGGTATACAATTGAGTTTTAATCAACCAATGCTAACTATATATAGATGACAGTAGATGACCTATTTAATCATAATCATCCAATATAAAGGTTACTAAAATAGTAGAATCAATTTTTTTCCTTTAGTCCTATTTATTTCTATCTCCTCAAAACAATTAATAGTCATACAACAAACAGTAGAGATAATAAATATTTCTCTTTATTATTGGATATTTTGAGCTTTAATGGTTCCAAATTTCTTTTTAGCGGTAAGCTACTTATACTTATTAGGAGCGTGAGATTTTTTGATTACATGTTTATGAAATTCATTGAATCAAAGAACATTGCAAGATTCTAAAAAAATGTGAAGATAGTATAGAGCAATTATTTTTGAGAAGGCTAAGAACAAAAAAATCATACTCTTAAAACAACAGTTCTATCATTGATAAAATCAATTGCAGATAAAACCAAAGGAGGAAAACCATGATACTATAACTAAAAAGAATCAGATCTGTCTTTACAGTTATTGATCAGCTTTAATTGATATTTCCTGTAGAGTTCTCTCAGATTGCGCTTCAAAAAGTTTCTTATTATAATCTTATCACAGGTTAAAATTAATGATACTATAACTGTAGGCAAAGAGGAGGCATTGCTCAGATCCAGGTAACAACTATTTCTCCATGCCTTTTCAATTTCCTTTATTTTGAATCAGGGTGCATTATAAAAGTCTGTATAACTGCTTGTTATACCATGGGATGCTATAGCAACTGTCAGAAGTAATAAATTGCAGAAGCAATCTCAAAGAATCGACTGGAGCATCAAAAGGGTACAGAAAGCATCAGTATATGCCTCAAATAAAGTAGGGAGTCATGTCGAAGATTTATCTCCCTCGGAGTCCTTATTAGAAAAGGCTATTCCGTCAATTGCTCTTGTTACAGTGGGTGAGGGTGCTTGGGCTGCTGGTGTAGTACTCAGCAGCCATGGCCTTATACTCACAAATGCTCATATTTTGGAACCATGGAGATTTGGAAAAACATCTCTGTTAGGTTCGATGGATAAATATGCAGCAACATCTTCTCATAAAAATTCTTTAGATTCTGTGACAAATGAGCATGAAGCATCGTTATTGAATTCAATTTATAGAAGCTATGGAAAAATATCAGTTTGCTTGTGTTTGCATTGTAATTATAAATATCCATGAGACTAATTTTTGCAATCTGATTTCACTTAGATCACGGAACATAATGATTTATCTAATAGCAACGAATTAACCATAACCATGCCTCAACTGCAACTTAACATGCTAGCTCTCATAGTTTTCAAACTCTACTCTGTTTCATCTCTTATGTCGTAATACAAAATCTAGCATGTCAGTGATAGTGCAGACATCTTGCTCCGATTGCTTGATGTATGGATTGTTAAAGTTGTTCGAACCCATTAATATTATTTGTCGATGAGTTGATTGCAAAGATAATTAGTCCTCTTGTCTGGCCAGGAGCTCCTCCATTAATATTATTTGTCGATGAGTTGATTGCAAAGATAATTAGTCCTCTTGTCTGGCCAGGAGCTCCTCTTTTAATTGAAGATACATTGAGGAAAAACCTACAAGAGAAGCAGCAACTTGAATTAACTAAAATGAATGGTTTAAGTATTGATCTCCTGAGCATAGTGAAATCAACATACATGCTAGGTGTTGAAGATTCAAATTGGCCCCTGCCACAGTTTATCAGAAGCTTCTGATCCTTTTTAGACATAGAATGAATAAGAGGAATTTTGTCCAATGCTGCAAGATACAAGAGAATTCAGCATTAATGATATTATTAAAAATTAATAATTTTAACAAACTGGAACAAAAAATGAAAAGAAAAATAAATGAACCATTAGTAATATAATTCTTCTCCCTCTTCTCTTTCTGTGACTTGTTATGCTAGAAGAAGTTTATGACAACATAAGTTACCTGAGTCATAAGAGACATCAATGGTTTCATCTAGGGCAAGTCATTTCTGCATGGAACAGAAATTTTATTACAAAATTGTCTTGCAAAACATAAGACTTTAGAATATTAAAATGTACGACTTTATGTAAAGAGAGAAAGGGAAAAAAGAACATTCATATTATGATAGCACGTTTCAAGGTCATCATTAACCAAAACATGGTCAAAAAGACCTGGGGCTCTTCCTTGCTCGAGCTCAGCTTTCGCATTTCTTAGCCTCTTTTGAACTTGTTCCTCAGTTTTTGTTCCCCTACATAAAGCACAATAAGACACAAATACACTACATAAGGTTTACAATATAAGAGAATGTATGTCTACATAGTGAGTTATGCTTTTGAAAATACTCTAAAATCTCTTATATACCGAGAGCAAAGGCGCTTCTCAAGCTCATCAAATGATGGGGGGAAGATAAATACAAAAATCACTTCAAGAGAACTTGCCCTCATTCATCTAGCACCCTAAACATCTATGTCGAGAATACATCTCTACAATAAAGAAATTGAAGAAAATATCTTCAAATTTACCAATTGCACAAACACAATAGTGATTAGCTGCCAATGATTTCACATAAATTACACAGTTATTTGTTGAATTCATGTATTTGGCCATTCCAATTGATCTGTCTTTGCCATATTGAACAGTAACCTCTAAGGATGTTCAAATATACTACAAACTCCACCATCCTCTATGTAAATCTGTTTAGATTCTTATGTTGTTTTCTAATGATATGTCATTATCCAAATGATGACGATCCGACCGTCTTTATCTCGTGGGAACGATGAACTTTCGTGGAAAGTTTTATGAATAACTCTGAATGAGTTTAAGAACTCTGTGAATAGAGTTGTTGGAACCGAAAATTCGGTTAAGGATCAAGCTGTTTTTCTGTTGTCGAAGAATCCTCTCCGATTTGATTTTCTGAGGTTGATTCAAAAATCCTATCTCCGAGGATTTCATTGCTGTCGTTGCCGAATCTCCAAACCAGAGTGATTTTGATGATAAAGAATCCAACCTCTGATCTGATTATCAAAAATCCGATCCTTTAACTCTGTCGAGTTTGTTTGAGAACTGAAAATCTCCAACCTGTATGGTTTAGATCTTTTGAATCCAACCTGTGTGGTTCAGATGCCAAAAATCCAACCCGTTGCTCTGTTGGGTTCGTTGAGCTTTTATAGGGGGATAAGAGGTTGTAACTGACCCCTATATCCGCTCCTACGTGGGTGAAAATCCCCTCAGAACGTGGGATAAACGGTTTTGGAACCGTTCGACTTATGTTTGAATAAGTCAAACGCCCATTCTGGCGTTCAGAACCCAACTTCGCTTCTTAGGATTGAGACGCGAGGTTGGGTGTTAGCTGAACACCATTGAACGCGAGGGTCGCTCGCGTTTGGCTTGTGCATTGACGACGCGAGGGTCGCCTGCCTGCTTGGAAACGTGGGGGTCGGTGTTGGTTGGACCCCTACGAACGCGAGGGTCGCTCACGTTCAGCTTGTATCTTGGTGACGCGGGGGTGGCTTGGAAACGCGGGGGTCGCCTGCACTTCCCAAGTTGTAACGCGGGGATGACATCCGCGTTTCAGAAGGAGCTTTTTGACTTGTAACTTCTTCTGTGAAGCGTTGCAAGGACCGTTGTTCAGTAATCCTGGCTTTTAGCTGTTGTGGAGTGTGAAAGTTGTCAGATTGTAACTTTCACTGTAGATTATGAAGACTGCTGAATAGAGTTTTCATCCGTCGTCGGAAGTG